AAAGCATACAAGTCATTCAACAAAACAATGGCTGCAACAGCACAGAATACGCCTTCTGGAGTGGCCCAGTCAGAGTCCTGACCTTTTTTTTTTTGAAATGCTGTGGCATGACCTTAAGAGAGCGATTCACACCAGACATCCCAAGAATATTGCTACACTGAAACAGTTTTGTGAAGAGGAGTGGTCCAAAATTTCCAGATCGTTGTTTTTGTTTTTTGGTCTGATCTGCAACTACAGGAAATGTTTGGTTGAGGTTATTGCTGCCAAAAGAGTTTTCAACCAGTTTATTAAGTCCAAAGGTTCACATTTTTTTCCTCCCTGCACTGTGAATGTTTACATGTTATGTGCAATTAATCCATGGCAACATCTAATGTTTGTGTAGTATTATGTTCAGCAGACTGTGTTCTTCTATTGTTGTGACTTAGATGACGTTCAGAGCACATTTTATGCCCAATTCATGCAAAACTCCATGTAAATCCCAAGGGGTTTCACATACTTTTTCTTGCAACTGTATATGTGTGTGTATGTAGTATGTATGTATGTTGTGTGTGTGTGTATGTATGTATGTTGTGTGTGTGTGTGTGTAGTTTTGTGTGTGTGTGTGTGTGTGTGTAGTATGTATGTATATATAGAGAGAGAGAGTGATATATATAGATATAGACATAGATATATATATACTGCGTGTTGAAATGCATTTTTATTACAAAACATATATGAAAATTATTTTTAAAAATACATTTCAAATACACTGTATGTCTTTAAAAATACAAATCTACATTTTTGGAATGCATTTACAGATATATGTTAAAATGACTTTTAATATGTAGAAAAAAAAAAATCTGAAGAATATATAAAATAATTTTAATATATTTGTAAATGCATTCCAAAAATGTAGATTTTTATATATATATATATATATATATATATATATATACATACATACAGTGAAGGAAATGTGTATTTGCTCCCCTGCTGATGGTGAATGTTCGCCCCTCACACAGAAATGATCGGTCTAACAATGGAATGTTCGCCCCCCCTCACTAACAGAAATGATCGGTCTAACAATGGAATGTTCGCCCCTCACACAGAAATGATCGGTCTAACAATGGAATGTTCGCCCCTCACACACAGAAATGATCGGTCTAACAATGGAATGTTCGGTGTAACACTGAGAGACAGAATACAACAACAAATTCAGCAGAAATGTGTCTAACAAATGATGACGGATCTGCATGTTCATGAGGGAAAGAAGGATTTGATCCCCTTCACAAAACATGACTTAGTACTTGGTGGCCAATCCCTTGTTGGCAATCACAGAGGTCAGACGTTTCCTGGAGTTGGCCCCCAGGTTCGCACACATCTAAGGAGGGATTTTGGCCCACTCCTCTTGGCAGATCCTCTCCAAGTCATTAAGGTTTGGTGGCTGACGTTTGGCAACTCGAACTTTCAGCTCCCTCCACAGATTGTCAATCAGATGAAGGTGTGGAGACTGGCTAGGCCACTCCAGGACCTTAATGTGCTTCTTCTTGAGCTGCTCCTTTGTTGCCTTGGCCGTGTGTTTTGGGTCATTGTCATGCTGGAACACCCATCCACCACTCATTTTCAATGAATGGGGAAAGAACAAAAAGAGGGCGCACAGGCCTAGTGCATTACCATAAAAAATGTTTAATAAAAAATAAAGTAGGTGTTGTACTCACAAACGACAATATAGTCAAGGCACATCATAAAGAACAGCTGGATCAACACCGCGCTGAGTAACAGTCTGAGGAAGAGGCAAGTCCTCGAAACGCGTCAGCCTTTTGAATGTCTAAACTCCCCATTGCGGCCTGTTACTCAGCGCGGTGTTGATCCAGCTGTTCTTTATGATGTGCCTTGACTATATTGTCGTTTGTGAGTACAACACCTACTTTATTTTTTATTAAACATTTTTTATGGTAATGCACTAGGCCTGTGCGCCCTCTTTTTGTTCTTTCCCCATTCAGTATATTTGGATTCCCCCGGTCCATTTGAGGGCAGCAAGGTGTGCATGTTCCAGGACATTCTTAATGTGGTTGTAGCCTTCATCGAGTCCATCCCCAAGCGCAGGAGCATTTGTGTTTGCTGACCCATTTTCAATGCCCTGGCTGAGGGAAGAAGGTTCTCACCCAAGATTTGAAGATACATTGCCCCATCCATCGTCCCTTTGATGTGGTGCAGTTGTCCTGTCCCCTTAGCAGAAAAACACCCCCAAAGCAGAATGTTTTCCACCACCATGTTTCACAGTTGGGATGGTGTTCTTGGGGTCATAGGCAGCATTCCTTCTCCTCCAAACACGGCGAGCTGAGTTGATGCCAAAGAGCTGGATTTTTGGTCTCATCTGACCACAACACTTCCCACCAGTCCTCCTCTGCATCATTCAGATGTTCAGTGGCAGACTTCAGACGGGTGTGGACATGTGCTTTCTTGAGCAGAGGGGCCTTGCGGGCACTGCAGGATTTCAGTCCTTGTCGGCGTAGTGTGTTATCAATTGTTTTCTTGGTGACTGCGGTCCCAGCTGCCTGGAGATCATTGACAAGATCCTCACGTGTAGTTCTGGGATGATTCCTCACTGTTCTCATGATCATTGACACTCCACGAGGTGAGATCTTGCATGGTGCACCAGACCTAGGGAGACTGACACTTGTTTTGTGTTTCTTCCATTTGTGAATGATTGCACCAACTGTTGTCACCTTCTCACCAAGCTGCTTGGCCATAGTTTTGGTAGCCCAGTCCAGCCTTGTGTAGGTCTACCATCTTGTCCCTGACATCCTTGGACAGCTCTTTGGTCTTTGCCATGGTGGAGAGTTTGGAATTGATTGTTTGATGGCTCCTGTGGACAGGTGTCTTTTTATAAAGGTAACACAATGAGATTAGCAGCACTGCACACTCCCTTTAAGAGACTGCTTCTAATCTCAGCTTGTTACCTGTATGAGAGACACCTGGGAGCCAGAAATCCTGCTGAATGATAGGGGATCAAATCCTTCTTTCCCTCATGAACATGCAGATCCGTCATCATTTGTTAGACGCATTTCTGCTGAATTTGTTGTTGTATTCTGTCTCTCAGTGTTACACCGAACATTCCATTGTTAGACCGATCATTTCTGTGTGAGGGGGGCGAACATTCCATTGTTAGACCGATCATTTCTGTGTGAGGGGCGAATATATTCCATTGTTAGACCGATCGTTTCTGTGTGAGGGGCGAACATTCAGCATCAGGGGGGGGCAAATACTCATTTCCTGCACTGTGTGTGTGTATATATATATATATGTTGCATGTTGAAATGCATTTTTATTATAAAACATATGAAAATTATTTTTAAAAATACATTTCAAATATACTGTATGTCTTTAAAAGTACAAATCTACATTTTTGGAATGCATTTACAAATATATGTTAAAATGATTACTTTTTTTATATGTTAAATATAAAAATTAAATATATTCTTCAGTTTTTTTTTTTTATCGTATAAAAAAAGTCATTTTAACATTTATGTTTACATATATTTCTAAATTAATTCCAAAAATGTAAATTTGTATTTTTAAAGATATACAGTATATTTGAAACCTATTTTTAAAAATATTTTTCATATATTTTGTAATGAAAATGCATTTCAACATTCAGTGTGTGTGTGTAATATAAATATATATAAATTTTTTTTTTCTTTTTTTAAATATATTGAATACGGCCAAAATTGTAGCATTTCAAATATATGTCAATATATTTGGGAAGAATATTTTTAAAATATATTTCAAATACATTTTACTTCCATGTGGGACAAGTCACAAATGAATGCAGCTTTGTAGCTGAACCAGAATCTGGCTTCATATCGGCGTCTTGCAGTCCCTGTACAGCAGAGTTCAGACTGGGAGAGGGAGAAGCAGCACAAGGAACCAATTAATTGCACTGCAGGGCAAGGAGCATGCTGATAGGAGGAGAGAGCAGGGTAACAGAGAGGCGAGCTGCAGTAGTATTGCAGTGTTAACATTGTTGCATTGTGGGAATTAGGATACAGTATATAGGGTGCTACTTTTCTTGACTCGCCAATTAATTAGGTTTATTGGGAGAAACACGTCGGGGGGGGGGGGGGGGGTCACATCTGATGGGGGAGTGTCTGTTTGATTTAATTTGGTGCCAATAAAGCTTGTTGCAGTTCAACAGGAAAAAGACAAATACAGCCGACTACATGTTCTGAATTGTAATAAGAAGTGGGTGTGTCCTGGGTATCGGGATTGGTGAGCTGTCCAGAGTCTTGAATGTGTGTCCATCTTTCCAGAAGTAACAGACTTCAGCCTGAGGGTGGCGCTGCAGACGCTGCTGAGGGAATACTGTGAGCCCAGCCTGTCTCCCAAGGACCGCAAGCTCTGCAACTTTCTGCAGCCGCCCCGTGTGTGGCCCCGGAGGAAAGCTCGCAAATTCCTCTATTCGGTTGGTAAGGAGCGATAAATACTACATGGATGTCCTGGTGGAATGTCATACCTCACATCCATGTTCCCATCCACCGCCAAGTCTGCAACCGTCTGAGATGCCACCTCGCTGGCAACCTACTGACTCCTTACAGTACGCTTTGTGGATCAGCTTAGTGTCCTCCAAACTTTCTCTGCCAATCCCATCACCGGTCTCCGCTCAGTGTCCTCCACCCCTCTCTCTGCCAATCCCACCACTGGTCTCCACTCGGTGTCCTCCACCCCTCTCTGCCAATCCCACCACCGGTCTCCACTCAGTGTCCTCCACCCCTCTCTGCCAATCCCACCACCGGTCTCCACTCAGTGTCCTCCACCCCTCTCTGCCAATCCCTCCACTGGTCTCAGCTCAGTGTCCTCCACCCCTCTCTGCCAATCCCTACATGGTCTCCGCTCAGTGTCCTCCACCCCTCTCTGCCAATCCTTCCGCTGGTCTCAGCTCAGTGCCCTCCACCCCTCTCTGCCAATCCCTTCACTGGCCTCCATTCATTGTCCTCCACCCCTCTCTGCCAATCCCTCCACTGACCTCCATTCAGTGTCCTCCACCCCTCTCTGCCAATCCCTCCACTGGCCTCCACTCAGTGTCCTCCATCCCTCTCTGCCAAACCCTCCACTGGCCTCCACTCAGTGTCCTCCACCCCTCTCTGCCAATCCCACATCTGGCCCTCCACTCAGTGTTCTCCACCCCTCTCTGCCAATCCCTTCACTGGCCTCCATTCATTGTCCTCCACCCCTCTCTGCCAATCCCTCCACTGACCTCCATTCAGTGTCCTCCACCCCTCTCTGCCATCCCTCCACTGACCTCCATTCAGTGTCCTTCACCCCTCTCTCTGCCAATCCCCCCACTGACCTCCATTCAGTGTCCTCCACCCCTCTCTGCCAATCCCTTCACTGGTCTCCTGTCAGTGTCCTCCACCCCTCTCTGCCAATCCCTCCACTGACCTCCAGTCAGTGTCCTCCACCCCTCTCTGCCAATCCCTTCACTGGCCTCCATTCATTGTCCTCCACCCCTCTCTGCCAATCCCTCCACTGGCCTCCATTCATTGTCCTCCACCCCTCTCTGCCAATCCCTCCACTGGCCTCCACTCAGTGTCCTCCATCCCTCTCTGCCAATCCCTTCGCTGGCCTCCATTCATTGTCCTCCATCCCTCTCTGCCAATCCCTTCGCTGGCCTCCATTCATTGTCCTCCATCCCTCTCTGCCAATCCCTCCACTGGCCTCCATTCAGTGTCCTCCATCCCTCTCTCCTCTGCCAATCCCTCCACTGGCCTCCATTCAGTGTCCTCCATCCCTCTCTGCCAATCCCTCCACTGGCCTCCATTCAGTGTCCTCCAGCCCTCTCTTCCAATCCCTCCACTGGCCATTCATTCAGTGGCATAAAAGAGAAGATTGACCAATCAGAATTCTGACTTTCCTCACCCACTGTGATCACGGGTGTTATTACTTCAACTTTTGCTTCTGTGAGCAGCACTGAAGGGAACATAAAGCAGCATTTTCCCAAATATTTGCTTTTTCCATCTGTCTTTATCCATCCTGACGACGTAATATTTGTGTCTGCTTTAGGCCTGCTGCTTACTCGGCGTCTCTTCTCTCCTATAGGGGGATACACCCGCCTGCAGGGAGGACGATGGAGTGACAGCCGGGCACTGAGCTGCATGGAGCGCTTCGATACTTTCAGCCAGTACTGGAGCACCGTGTCGTCTCTGCACCAAGCCCGCAGCGGGATGTGCGCCGTCGTTCTGGAGGGGAGGATCTACGTGATTGGAGGTACCGCCCCCCCCCCCAAAAAATAGACCCCGATATCTAAGGTCCCTTTTTTTAGAAGAGGATCTGTAACTCCATCCAGGGGATGTTACCTCCAAAATAACAGACGTTTCCTTCTCAGGTGTGAAAAGGACTCCATGATTTTCGACTGTGTGGAGTGCTACGACCCGATCACCAAGCAGTGGACCACCGCCCCCTCCATGACCCAACCACGCTGTGGCCTGGGGGCCTGTTCCTGCCACGGAGCCATCTATGCCATGGGTGAGCCATATATAGTACTCCATAGCTCCAGCTCTATAGTCACGCTTCCCTCTATCATCTGAAGTCAGTTACTTTCACAAGTGCGGGTCTGAGAGTGAACCCCAACGGCAGACGGATCAAACTTAACCACCTCCTGTCCGGCCGTTGTATATAAACGGCCAGATGGTGGCAGTACAGGGGGGCGGGTGGCCGTTTCTAAACTTGTGCACGCTCTCTGGGAGCGCGCAGCACCGCGATCTGGTGCCCGCTGTGTCCTCCGGGAAAACACCGATCGTCGTACGGGACCTCTGTGTGAGGTCCCAATCATATGATCACTGATTCGCCAATCAGTGATCAAATGCACGTAGTAAGCAAGATGTCACTTCTGACATCATTGCTTACTACATGTGAAATCTGTGAATGATCACAGAGATCTCATGGTACAGGGCCATTCACAACAGCCTTGTACCACGTGACAAGCTGTGACCAATCACAGCTCACACAGTATTTTTTAATGGCTACAGGAATGCAGCCAGAGAGAAGGAGAAATGATTGCTTTTGCAGCCTTTATGGTGTAAAAAGAAAAAATCTTCACCCCCCCCCCACAAGTAGTACAGTGACACCATGGTGACACCGTACTGCTAGGGTGACAGTATGTAAAAAAAACAAAAAAAAAACATAAATAATAATATATAAAAATGTAAAAAAATGTTTAAAAATTATAATTTTTGGTTATAAACTAATTTGGCTTATTTGGTTTTTTTTTTTTTTACTAAAAAGATAACTGAATACATTTTGGCCAAGATTTATGATGAAATATTATCTATTTGCAAAATTTAATAAAAACTTTTTTTCAAAATTTTTGGACTTTTTTTTTCATTTACATAGCAAAAAAAATTAAAATTCCAGCGGTGAATAAATACCACCAAAATAAAGCTTTATCTATCTCAAAAAAATGTAAAAAAATTCATATGGGTACAGTGTTGCATGACCGCGTAATTGTCATTCAAAATGTCATAGCGCTGAAAGCTGAAAATTGGCCTGGGGGGGAAAGTGTCCGGACCGGAAGGGGGGGGGAAGCGTCCGGACCGGAAGGGGGGGAAAGCGTCCGGACCGGAAGGGGGGGGGAAAGCGTCCGGACCGGAAGGGGGGGAAAGCGTCCGGACCGGACGGGGGGGGAAAGCGTCCGGACCGGAAGGGGGGGAAAGCGTCCGGACCGGAAGGGGGGTGAAAGCGTCCGGACCGGAAGGGGGGTGAAAGCGTCCGGACCGGAAGGGGGGTGAAAGCGTCCGGACCGGAAGGGGGGGAAAGCGTCCGGACCGGAAGGGGGGGAAAGCGTCCGGACCGGAAGGGGGGGAAAGCGTCCGGACCGGAAGGGGGGGAAAGCGTCCGGACCGGAAGGGGGGGAAAGCGTCCGGACCGGAAGGGGGGGAAAGCGTCCGGACCGGGAGGGGGGGGAAAGCGTCCGGACCGGGAACACTCGGACCGGGACCGTGTCCTGGATCACTCGGACCGGGTCTTGGATCACCCGGAGCAGGACCGTGTCCTGGATCACTCGGACCGGGTCTTGGATCACTCGGACCAGGTCCTGTACCCCAGCCACCAGTAAGTCCAAAGGATTTACTCCAATGAACACTCAGCACAGGTGAGACTGTTGTTCTGGACAAGCCTGGGACCGCCTCCATCTGACGCGGTTTACCCAATACTGAGCTTCATTGTAGAGACATGCGATTCGGTGACGGGTTTTCTGGGCCAAATAGATGTATCTCTCTGGAACAGAACTGTTGAACTAGTCGCTGCAGGAAAATACATTTATAAATATACAATCGTCATCCATCCTCCTACCTGTTAATATGAGACAACAGATGGGGCACCATTCCTCCCAATGACACTGAGGGGGCACTATTCCTCCCACTGACACCAATGATGGGGCACTATTCCTCCCACTGACACCAATGATGGGGCACTATTCCTCCCACTGATACCAATGATGGGGCACTATTCCTCCCACTGACACCAATGATGGTACACTATTCCTCCCACTGACACCAATGATGGGGCACTATTCCTCCCACTGACACCAATGATGGGGCACTATTCCTGCCACTGATACCAATGATGGGGCACTATTCCTCCCACTGACACCAACGAGGGGGCACTATTCCTCCCACTGACACCAATGATGGGGCACTATTCCTCCCACTGACACCAATGATGGGGCACTATTCCTGCCACTGATACCAATGATGGGGCACTATTCCTCCCACTGATACCAATGATGGGGCACTATTCCTCCCACTGATACCAATGATGGGGCACCATTCCTCCCACTGATACCAATGATGGGGCACTATTCCTCCCACTGACACCAATGATGGGGTGCTATTCCTCCCACTGACACCAATGATGGGACGCTATTCCTCCCACTGACACCAATGATGGGACGCTATTCCTCCCACTGACCCCAACAATGGGGCACCATTCCTCCCACTGACACCAATGATGGGGCATCATTCCTCCCACTGACACCAATGATGAGGCACTATTCCTCCCACTGACACCAACGATGGGGCATCATTCCTCCCACTGACCCCAACAATGGGGCACTATTCCTCCCACTGACCCCAACGATGGGGCACCATTCCTCCCACTGACCCCAACGATGGGGCACCATTCCTCCCACTGACACCAACGATGGGGCACTATTCCTCCCACTGATACCAATGATGGGACACTATTCCTCCCACTGATACCAATGATGGGGCACTATTCCTTCCACTGACACCAATGATGGGGCACTATTCCTCCCACTGACACCAATGATGGGGCACTATTCCTTCCACTGATACCAATGATGGGGCACTATTCCTCCCACTGACACCAATGATGGGGCACTATTCCTCCCACTGACACCAATGATGGGGCACTATTCCTCCCACTGACACCAATGATGGGGCACTATTCCTCCCACTGACACCAATGAGGGGGCACCATTCCTCCCACTGACACCAACGATGGGGCACTATTCCTCCCACTGACACCAATGATGGGGCACTATTCCTCCCACTGACACCAACGATGGGGCACTATTCCTCCCACTGACACCAATGATGGGGCTTGCAGTTATTTGTGGAATTAGTAGGGCCTGAAGGGGCTCAGCAAGAAGAAAATGTGACCTGCACTGAACGTTTCCCCCTCACTCTCCTACAGGCGGTTGGGTCGGAGTGGAGATCGGGAACAGCATCGAGCGGTTCTGTCCGGAGGAGAACAGCTGGCAGGTGGTGGGGAGGATGTCTGTGCCGAGATATTACTTTGCCTGCTGTGAGAGACAAGGTGAGTGCAGTGCTGGCCCAGGGGCCCGTGTATGAAGAGCACCTGTCGTGTGGGAGGCAACCCCGAATCAAAGAGAAAACTGAACAAGTGGGTGGAGCAAATTCACTAAGGGGCGGGGGAATCGGGTTGGTCCATACATTGCCATGTTTATTGCTGTCCTTGAACCCTTAAGGGACAATTATTATATATAACATTTATGTACAGAATACAGAGACCACCATACCGTATCTTTATCAGTACCCAGTGTATATATCCGATAGATCACAGGTCTCCAGATGTGGCCTTTTGCCTGTTTATATGGCCCTTGGGGCACAATTCTGCCCAATGACACCAACAATGTAGCACTATTTCCCCCACTAACACCAACAATGAGTCATAATTCCTTCTACTGACAAATGATGGGGCACTATTCCTCCCACTGACACCAATGATGGGGCACTATTCCTCCCACTGACACCAATGACGGGGCACTATTCCTCCCACTGACACCAATGACGGGGCACTATTCCTCCCACTGACACCAATGACGGGGCACTATTCCTCTCACTGACACCAATGACGGGGCACTATTCCTCCCACTGACACCAATGATGGGGCACTATTCCTCCCACTGACACCAATGATGGGGCACTATTCCCCCACTGACACCAATGATGGGGCACTATTCCCCCACTTACACCAATGATGGGGCACTATTCCTCCCACTGACACCAATGATGGGACACTATTCCTCCCACTGACACCAATGATGGGACACTATTCCTCCCACTGACACCAATGATGGGGCACTATTCCTCCCACTGACACCAATGATGGGGCACTGTTCCTCCCACTGACACCAATGATGGGACACTATTCTTCCCACTGACACCAATGATGGGACACTATTCCTCCCACTGACACCAATGATGGGGCACTATTCCTCCCACTGACACCAATGATGGGGCACTGTTCCTCCCACTGACACCAATGATGGGGCACTATTCCTCCCACTGACACCAATGGTGGGGCACTATTCCTCCCACTGACACCAATGATGGGGCACTATTCCTCCCACTGACACCAATGATGGGGCACTATTCCTCCCACTGACACCAATGATGGGGCACTATTCCTCCCACTGACACCAATGGTGGGGCACTATTCCTCCCACTGACACCAATGATGGGGCACTATTCCTCCCACTGACACCAATGATGGGGCACTGTTCCTCCCACTGACACCAATGATGGGGCACTGTTCCTCCCACTGACACCAATGATGGGGCACTATTCCTCCCACTGACACCAATGATGGAGCTCTATTCCTCCCACTGACACCAATGATGGGGCACTATTCCTCCCACTGACACCAATGATGCGGCATAAAGTACAGTGTAAAAAATAAATAAAATTATTATTATTATTAATAATAATAACAAAAAATGAAAGTGCCATGTGCTCATGCTCAGAGGCGACCGCATACGTAGGTCGCACACGCATATGTAAACGGTGTTCATATCACACGTGAGATATAACCACAATCAGTATAGGGAGAGAAATAATTCTGGGCCTCCTGTGTAACTCTAAACTGGTAGCTTGTCCAATTTTTAAAGTATCGCCTATTGAGATTGTCGCCATTCCGTGACCGTGCGCAATTTGAAAGCTTGTTGGCAATCTATGTACTCGGTTACATAGTTAGTCTGGCTGAAAAAAAAGACAAAAGTCCTTCCAGTTCAACCATAAATGGTGTAACTTCATCTTTCATATTTTACCAAAAAATTTGGCTATATATATAGTTTTTTTTTTTTTTTTTTTTTTGCATTAAAATTTATTAAAGTGTATATTTTTACAAAAAAAAATGCTGCGCAAATACTTGTGTGTGACATAAAAAAATATTGCAAGGACCGCAATTTTATTCTCTAAGGCCTCTGCTCAAAATATATATAATCTTTGGGGGTTCTAAGTAATTTTCTAGTGAAAAAAAAAAACACACAAAACTGATTTTTACTCGTAAAAGTGTCAGAATAGGCCGAGTGGTTAATCTTTGCACTTCCTTTTTGTACATTTATTTGAATCCCTTCGTGAAAGGAATTTCTTTTTTTCTTTTTCTCTTTTTTTTTTTTTTTCTTTTTCTTTTTTTTTTTTTTTTTTTCTTTCTTTTTTTTTTTTTTTTTTTCTTTTTCTTTTTTTTCTTTTTTTCTTCTTTTTTTTTTTTTTTTTTTTTTCTTTTTCTCTTTTTTTTTTTTGTTTTTTTCTGTTTCTTCTTTTCTTTTTTTTTTCTTTTACTTTTTTTTTTTGTTTTTAGGGTTGATCTACGTGGTCGGTGGGATGAGCCAGGAGGGACTGGAGCTGTCCTCGGTTGAAGTGTATGACCCAATTTCCAAGCGCTGGACCTTACTGCCACCCATGGGCACCCGCAGGGCCTATCTGGGCATAGGCTGCTTGAATGACTGCTTGTACGTGGTGGGCGGATGGAACGAGACGCAGGACGCACTCAACACTGTGGAAAGATACTCTTTTGAGGAGGTACTCCTCGGGGAATAAGGGGGGGGGGGGGTAATTCCTTGAAGATTTCTCAATTGTCCATTAACAATAGGTCATAGCTGGGATAGTAGGAAGACCAGGGTTGTAGTGCCACCTACAGGAGAAGTGGATAATAGCACATGGTCGCCCATATTGGGTCTGCAGCCCTTAGTTTCAATGGCTTGGTTTTCCTTTTAATGTCCTTTTTTAGCTTTTTTTATTTATTTATTTTCTTTTCTGTTTTTAGCTTTTTTTTTTTTTTTTTTTTTTAAATTGGAATGTTTTCCCCTATCAACAGCTATTAATGGATTCAGGACAAATACCGAAAATCTGGAAGTCCTTTCAATGAGCCAACAAGCTGTACAGATACGGCAGGACTCCACTTCCAGGTCAGGCCAGGTAGACCCGGGGATTCCTAGTGGAGGTGTCGGGGGCAGAGCTGGGGCAGTTGGTTCGTCAATCTCTGAAGACTCGCTTGTGAAGATTTCTTTGTTGTCCGTTGAAGCCGGGATCTCCACACTTTCTAAAGGAACATCCAAGTTACTGTCCATCAAACTTTGGGGGGCTACAACCTTCTTGACTCCTTACAGTCTGGCTTTCACTTGCAGCACTCCACAGAAACTGCCCTACTAAAACTCAGTAATGATTTACTAACTGCTAAAACCAATGGCCACTACTCTGCACTCATCCCAACCAATGGCCACTACTCCGTACTCCTCCCAACCAATGGCCACTACTCCGTACTCATCCCAACCAATGGCCACTACTCCGTACTCATCCCAACCAATGGCCACTACTCCGTACTCATCCCAACCAATGGCCACTACTCCGTACTCATCCCAACCAATGGCCACTACTCCGTACTCATCCCAACCAATGGTCACTACTCGTACTCATCCCAACCAATGGCCACTACTCCGTACTTCATCCCAACCAATGGCCACTACTCCTTACTCATCCCAACCAATGGCCACTACTCCTTACTCATCCCAAACCAATGGCCACTACTCCGTACTCATCCCAACCAATGGCCACCCCTCCGTACTCATCCCAACCAATGGCCATTACTCCGTACTCATCCCAACCAATGGCCACCACTCCGTACTCATCTCAACCAATGGCCACTACTCCTTACTCATCCCGACCAATGGCCACTACTCCGTACTCATCCCGACCAATGGCCAGTACTCAGTACTCATCCCGACCAATGGCCACTACTCAGTACTCATCCCGACCAATGGCCACTACTCCGTATTCATCCAACCCGAACAATGGCCACTACTCCGTACTCATTCCCGACCAATGGCCACTTACTCCGTACTCATCCCGACCAATGGCCACTACTACCGTACTCATCCCGACCAATGGCCACTACTCCGTACTCATCCCGACCAATGGCCACTACTCCGTACTCATCCCGACCAATGGCCACTACTCTGTACTCTTAACTACTAGACCTCTCTGTGGCCTTTGATAGTGCTGACCATGTGGCTGCTTCTCAATAAATCCACTTCAGCTCTTTTCTTGTTTTCTATCCCCGACTTATCACAGCTCTCATTCGGTGATCCCTATTCCTCTCCACTTCCTGTTTTTGTAGGGGTCCCCCAAGAGGCTCTGTTCTTGGACCCCTTTTCTTCTTTGGACCTCTCCTTGGTCACTTTATAACCTCCCACATCTTCCAATACCATCTGTATGCTGATGACACCAAAATCCATCTCTCTACTCCTCACCTCACCCCTTCAGTCGCATGGACTAACTTACTAGCTGACATATCTGCATGGGTGTCACACCACTTCCTTAAACTAAATCTTAAAATCCTCCTTAACCCCATTCTCCCTTCCTTTGGACCCTCCTCCCTGACTTTTCCATCAATTTATACAACTATCAGTCTCTCCCATCAAGCCAGGGTACTTTTGTGTAATTCTGGACTCTGACCTCTCCTTTCAGCCCCAAATCCAATCACTGTCAAAAACTTGTAGGTATCACCAATGTTGTCACCTCCTCCTTGACTATTGCAACTCCCTTCTCATAGGTCTACCTCTCCATAGCTATCCCTTTCTCGGTCCATCATGATTGCCTGCCAGACCCCATCCACTTTATTAACCACTTAGTGTCTGCCACCCCTTTCTGCCAATCTCTCCCTTGGCTTCCCATTCAGTGTCCTCCACCCCTCTCTGCCAATCCCTCCACTGGCTTCCACTCAGTGTCCTCCACCCCTCTCTGCCAATCCCTCCACTGGCTTCCAATTCAGTGTCTTCCACCCCTCTCTGCCAATCCCTCCACTGGCTTCCAATTCAGTGTCCTCCACCCCTCTCTGCCAATCCCTCCACTGGCTTCCAATTCAGTGTCTTCCACCCTTCTCTGACATTCCCTCCATCTAGCTTCCCATTCAGTGTCCTCCACCCCTCTCTGCCAATCCCTCCACTGACCTCCACTCAGTGTCCTCCACCCCTCTCTGCCAATCCCTCCACTGGCCCTCCATTCAGTGTCCTCCACCCCTCTCTGCCAATCCCTCCACTGGCCTCCATTCAGTGTCCTCCACCCCTCTCTGCCAATCCCTCCACTGGCCTCCACTCAGTGTCCTCCACCCCTCTCTGCCAATCCCTCCACTGGCCTCCATTCAGTGTCCCTCCACCCCTCTCTGCCAATCCCTCCACTGGCTTCCACTCAGTGTCCTCCACCCCTCTCTGCCAATCCTTCCACTGGCCTCCATTCAGTGTCTTCCACCCCTCTCTGCCAATCCCTCCATTGCCTTCCCATTCAGTGTCCTCCACCCCTCTCTGCAAATCCCTCCATGTCTTCCCATTGTCAAGCGAATTAAATTCAAAATACTAACAACATCACACAAAGCCATCCACAACTCTGCCCCCAGCTATATCACCAATTTTGTCTCCAAATATCACCCAAGCCATCCTCTCCTAACCTCCTCCTCTCAAGCTCCTTTGTCTCCTCCTCCCATGCTCATCTCCAGGACTTTGCCAGAGCCTCTCCCATCCTCTGGGACTCTCTACCTCAATCTGCCAGGCTGTCCCCTACTTGGCTGCCTTTAGGCAATCCCCGAAAACTCATCTCTTCAGGGAAGCCTGTCACGCCTCCTACTAACAACTGATATCCTAATTCTTCGGTCAGCTCATCCTGTTTGTAGGGTCTTGGTGTTGGGGATTGCTCCTTTTTTTGTACCCGAGGGTTGCAGACCGCGTGGGGAGGCCAAAGCCATTGGAGGAAATTAGTATGGACCTGAGGGGACAGAGGCACCTGTAGTGTAAATAATGGGGGGCAGAGGAATTTTTTTAACCACCTCCCGTCCGGCCGTTGTATATAAATGGCCCGACGGTGGCAGTGCAGGGTCGGGTGGCCATTTATAAATGGCCTGCCCTGCCCCCTGCTTGTGCGCGCTCCCTGGGAGCACGCAGCACCATGATCCGGTGCCCCACTGTGTCCTCCAGACACAGTGGAACACCGATCGTCGTACGGGACCTCTGTGTGAGGTCCCGATCATGTGATCACTGTTTGGCCATCAGTGATCACATGCAGAGTAGTAAGCAAGATGTCACTTCTGACATCATTGCTTACTACGTGTGAAATCTGTGAATGATCACAGAGGTCACATGGTACAGGGCCAGTCACAACAGCCTTGTACCATGTGACAAGCTGTGACCAATCACAGCTCACACAGTATTTCTCAATGGCTGTAGGAATGCAGCCAGAGAGAAGGAGAAATGATTGCTTTTACAGCTTTTATGGGTGTAAAAGCAATCAGTGTAAAAAAAAAAAAAAATCTTCATCACCCCCCACAAGTAGTACAGTGTCACCATGGTGACACTGTACTGCTAGGGTGACAGTATGTAAAAAAAAAAAACCAAAACATAATAATATAAAAAAATAAAATAAAAATGTAAAAAAAAGTTTAAAAAGTATAATTTTTGGTTATAAACTAATTTGGGTTACTTTTTTTTTTTATTAAAAAGATAACGGAAAAATTTTGGCTGAGATTTATGATTAAATATTATTTAATTGCAAAATTTTATAAGAAAAACACTTTTTTTTCAAAATCTTTGGACTTTTTCATTTATATAGCAAAAAAAATAAAAATCCCTGCGGTGAATAAATACCACCAAAATAAAACTTTATCTGTCTCAAAAAAATGCTAAAAAATTCATATGGGTACAGTGTTGCATGACTGCGCAATTGTCATTAAAAGTGTGATAGCGCTGAAAGCTGAAAATTGGCCTGGACAGAGAGGGGGGGGGGGGGAAAGTGTCCGGACTGGAAGGGGGGGGAAAGTGTCCGGACTGGAAGGGGGGGGGAAAGTGTCCGGGCTGGAAGGGGGGGGAAAGTGTCCGGGCTGGAAGTGTCCGGGGGGGGGGGGAAAGTGTCCGGGCTGGAAGGGGGGGAAAGCGTCCGGGCTGGAAGGGGGGGGGAAGCGTCCGGGCTGGAAGGGGGTGGAAAGCGTCCGGGCTGGAAGGGGGTGGAAAGCGTCCGGGCTGGAAGGGGGGTGAAAGCGTCGGGGCTGGAAGGTGGGGGGAAAGCGTTCGGGGCTGGAAGGTGGGGGGAAAGCGTTCGGGGCTGGAAGGGGGGGGGAAAGCGTCCGGACCGGAAGGGGGGGAAAGTGTCCGGACTGGAAGTGGCTTAAAAGGTAAATCTTCAAAAAAGACTGAAGGACATCCTACACTCTGATTGTTCTCACATTTCCTCGTTCGCTTTTTATTGTGTACTTTCATTGTGCTTTTATTTTGGGCTGTAGGAGCTGTGGGCGGAAATGGCCCCAATGAAGTTTCCCCGGGCAGGCGTGTCGGTGGTCAGCGTGAACGGACTGCTGTACGCGGCTGGCGGCAGGGCCATCCTCCACAATTTTTCCGCCCCTGTGACTTCGGACTCTGTTGAAGTTTACAACCCGCACACGGACACCTGGACTGAAATCGGCAGCATGATCACCAGCCGCTGCGAGGGCAGCCTGGCGGTCTTGTGACACGCACAGCGCCATTTACTGATTGGGAGATGTGGCTGCAATCGGGCCACCAAAAAACAAAAGCCCAGTGTGGCGCGTCAAGGTATTGTCGGGCATTGGCGCAGTAAAGACTTCTTTCTGGCAACTCTACCATGCAGCTCATTTTTGTTCAAGTACCGTCATATTGTGCTTCTTGAAACAACCACGACGTCTTTTTTTCCCAGAGAAGCCTGTATTTCTCTTGAGGTTACCCGAACAGTTGTGGCTGCAATCAATCTGGTCTACCTGACCTTGGCTTGGTATCCAGGAAGATTTGTGGTCGTTTTCTGGCAGCATGACACAGGGTGACTCCACAAACCAGATACAGATCAATTGGTACATCCAGAGACCCGCTCAGCGGTCATGGCGTTTACAGAGAACTGGTCAGCAATCACGATAGAATTTTTTTTTTAATGTCGTTTTATTTATTGGAATTGAAGGTGTAAAAATATCTCTTTTGAAAAGCGAACCTGAAAACGTTATATTGTGATGGGATTTTGTATGAAATAAAGATTATATCGGGACAATCAGCAAAGGACTCCAGACTGGCGATGGTGACGTGTGATCATGGAGCGATCCCCGCGGCGCCAGTCCATGACTAACTCACCTCCCTCCCCCCCATGGAGAGAGGCGAATGGATCCTGAATCTTGTGGACTTTCGTTTGTTTTTTGTTTTGATAACCGCTATAAATGACACTTATAACTTACTAACTCCTCCCCCTTCATCATGGAGGGATGTGAATGGGATCTGAATGTGTTTTTTTTCTTGTTTTTTTTTTTTTAATGAATGGACTACCAGTATAAACGGATCTCTTATATCTGTCTGCAGTTCCCCACCGAACCACTGAACTCCAGGCAAAACAACTGAAATTACACGATGAAATACATACAATATATGAATGATGCTGGTTTTCCTGTGAAAATCTTATCTCCTCCCCCCCCCCCCCCCCCCCCCCCTTCATCATGGTGAGATGTGAATGGGATCTGATTTGTGTTTTTTTTTTTTGTTTTTTTTTAATGAATGGACTACCGGTATAGATGGATCTCTTATATCTGTCTGTAGTTCCACCGAACCACTGAACTCCAGGCAAACAACTGAATTACACGATGAAATACATACAATATATGGATGATGCTGGTTTTCCTGTGAAAATCTTATCTCCTCCCCCCATCATCATGGTGAGATGTGAATGGGATCTGATTTGTGTTTTGTCTTTTTTTCTTTTTTTTTTTTTTTTTTTTTTTTTTTTCTGAATTATATCTGTAGTTCCACCGAACCACTGAACTCCAGGCAAACAACTGAATTATACGACAAAATACATACAATGCGTAGATAAGCCTGGTTTTCTTGCAAAAAATCTCATCTCCCCCCTCTCTTCATCATGGAGAGAATCTGATTGTGTTTTTTTTTTTTTCTTTTAATGGACTACGGGTATAAATGGATCTCTTATATCTCTCTGTAGTTCCACCGAACCACTGAACTCCAGGCAAACAACTGAATTACACGATGAAATACATACAATATATGGATGATGCTGGTTTTCCTGTGAAAATCTTATCTCCTCCCCCCCCTTCATCATGGTGAGATGTGAATGGGATCTGATTTGTGTTTTTTTTTTTTTTTTTTTTTTTTTTTTAATGATTGGACTACCGGTATAGATGGATCTCTTATATCTGACTGTAGTTCCACCGAACCACTGAACTCCAGGCAAACAACTCAATACACATGAAATACATACAATACATAGATGATGCTGGTTTTCCTGTGACAATCTCATCCCCCCCCCCCCGCCTTCATCATGGAGGGATGTGAATGGGATCTGAATGTGTTTTTTGTCAGTTTTTTGTTTGTTTTTTAATGAATAGACTACCGGTATGCTGGTTTTCCTGTGAAAAATCTCATCTCCCCCCCGTTTATCATGGAGAGATGTGAATGGGATCTGAATGTTTTCGTTTTTTTTAATGAATGGACTACCGATATAAATGGATCTCTTATATCTGTCTGTAGTTTCCACCGAACCACTGAACTCCAGGCAAACAACTGAATTACACGATGAAATACATACAATATATGGATGATGTGGTTTTCCTGTGAAAATCTTATCTCCTCCCCCTCATCATGGGTGAGATGTGAATGGGATCTGATTTGTGTTTTTTCTTTTTTTTTTTTTTTCTTTTTTTTTCTGAATTATATCTGTAGTTCCACCGAACCACTGAACTCCAGGCAAACAACTGAATTATACGACGAAATACATACAATACGTAGATAAGGCTGGTTTTCCTGCGAGGAATCTCATCTCCCCCCTTCATCATGGAGAGAATGGGATCTGATTGTGATTTTTTTTTTTTTTTTTTAATGAATGGACTACCGATATAAATGGATCTCTTATATCTGTCTTGCAGTTCCACCGAACCACTGAACTCCAGGCAAACAAACTGAATTACACGATGAAATACATACAATATATGGATGATGCTGGTTTTCCTGTGAAAATCTTATCTCCTCCCACCTTCATCATGGTGAGATGTGCAAAATGGGATCTGATTTGTGTTTTTTTTGTTTTTTTTTTTTTTTTTTTTTTTTTTTGAATGATTGGACTTACCGGTAATAGATGGATCTCTTATATCTGTCTGCAGTTCCACCGAATCACTGAACTCCAGGCAAACAACTAAATACACAGATGATGAAATAAATACATGATGCTGGGTTTTCCTCAGGGGTGACAATTCATCACCCCCCCCCCTTCATCATGGAGGGATGTGAATGGGATCTGAATGTGTTTTTTGTCTGTTTTTTTGTTGTTTTTTTAATGAATAGACTACCCGGTATGCTGGTTTTCCTGAGAAAATCTCATACCCTCCCCCCCCCCCCCTTCATCATGAAGAGATGTGTATGGGATCTGAATGTTTTTTGTTTTTTTTTAATGAATGGACTACCGATATAAATGGATCTCTTATATCTGTCTGTAGTTCCACCGAACCACTGAACTCCACAAAAAAGTCTACAGAAACACTTCCCCTCTCTTCTTGTTCATAAAATGGGGGAGGTGTTTTTTAGTCCTCAAATAGTGAGAACAATGTAATTAGTAAGGGTGCAGCACAGGCAGGGTGTACAGGAAATTTTCAGCTCCAAAAAATTTTGGCAGGATCAATTGGTAATTGTTGTTTTTTTTACACTTGTTGAACATATACAAAAAAAAAAAAAAAAAAAAAAAAAAAACTATATTGCCAAAAGTATTGCCCCCCCCCCAGTCATGTGATTCAGGTAATTGTTCCAATCCTCTCACCAATCATGTGATTCAGGGTGTGTTCCAATCCTCTCCCAATCATGTGATTCAGGTGTTCCAATACCCCTCCCAATCATGTGATTCAGGTGCTCCATTCCCCTCCCAATCATGTGATTCAAGTGTTCCATATCCCCTCCCAATCATGTGATTCAGGTGCTCCAATCCCCTCCATTATCATGTGATTCAGGTGCTCCAATCCCCTCCATATCGTGATTCAGGTGTTCCAATCCCTCCATATATCATGTGATTCAGGTGTTCCAATCCCCTCCATGGACACAGGTGTATACAATCAAGCCCCTAGGCATGCAGACGGCTTCTACAAACATTGGTGAAAGAATGGGTCGCTCACGCTCAGGAGCTCAGTGGCTCACAAGCGTGCGTGGTCGTGATAGGTGGTCCCTGGGCAATATAGTCCATCCGTGACTTTTCCTGGCTACTAAATATTCACACATCAACTTGTTATGTGGGATTATAACAAAGTGGAAGCCACTGGGGGAACAACAGCCACTCAGCCACCAAGTGGTAGGCCACGTCACATGAACAGGGCTTGGGGGTCAGCGCGCATGCTGAAGCGCACAGTGCGCGGGGAAGTCGCCCCAACTGTCTGCAGAGTCAATAGCTAAAGACCTCCAAACTTGGTGTAATGCCTTCAGATGAGCCCCAACAACACGTGCGTAGAGAGCTTCATGGAATGGGTTTTCCATGGCCGAGCAGCAGCTGTCCATCCAAGCGCCTTCCATCACCAAAGTGCCAAGTGCAATGCAAAGCGTTGGAGGTGCCGTGGTGTGTTAAAAGCACGCCGCCACTGCACTCTAGAGGCAGTGGAGACGTTTCTCTATGGAACCATGAATCACGCTTCTCTTCTGGCAATCCAATTGACGTCTGGATTCTATACAGTGGCGTGTGGCCAGCGAGGAACGGTACTTGGCATTTAGTTTGGTGCCAAGTGTAAAGTTTTTGGGAATCCGTGGGGGATTTGGTGTTGTTCCCGCGGGCTATGTTTTTCACAGGGGTTGGGTTTCCGGGGCCCACCTAGTTCCTCCCCACCTTTAATATGTGGCGACATGCAGTGGTAGGACAAGTTTCATGGTCCTGTTAACTTTGGTGGGGAGGGGCAATTATACCCTTGGTTTCCAAGCGGTTATGATCTGCGGTCGTGGGGGGCACAAGCAAGGTTTTTTGTGGCGTGGAGGAGGTTTTGTTTGGCCTATTTTTTATTTTTTGGGGATTATTGTTGTGTGTTTTGTTGGTTGTTTTTTTTTCACAGGTCTTTCCTCCTAGTTCCAGTGAAGGGAACTCTTAAGGCGACATGCTTGGACAATTTCATTGCTCCTCCAACTTTTTGGGAAAGAGTTTGGGGATGGCCCCTTCCTGTTCCAACATGACTGCGCACCTAGTGCACAAAGCAAGGTCCATAAAGACATGGAGGAGCCAGTTTGGGGTGGAGGAACTTGACTGTCCTGCACAGAGTCCTACTCAACCCCATAGAAACACCTTTGGGATGAATTAGAGGGAGACTGCGAGCCTTATAGGCCCCACTCACCCTCCTGCCACCCCCGACATCAGTGCCTGACACCCTGACAAAATGTGTGCTTCTGGATAACGAATGGTCCCAACCTTCCCATACCCAACACCCTCCTAAACCTTGTGGACGGCCTTCTCCCCGCCATTCCCAGAAGAGGTGAAAGCTGTTATAGCTGCAAAGGGCGGGGCCAACACTCAATATTGAACCCTCCGACTAGACCTGGGGGGCCATTAAAGGTCATGTGTGTGGAAAGGTCGGGGCCACTCAATATTGAAACCCTACGACTAAGACTGGGGGGCCATCAAAGGTCATGTGTCTGGAAAGGGCGGGGCCAATCAATATTGAACCCTATGGACTGAGGGCTGGGGGGGCCATTACAGGTTCATGTGCGTGGAAAAGGGCGGGGCCAAACTCAATATTTATAAACCCTACGGACTAAGACTAGAAGGCCATCAAAGGTCCGTGCGTGGAAAGGCCGGCCAACCAATACTTGGGGCAATATAGTGTATTTAACAAGAAGCATAAAGGAAACGTCAGTTGCGTCACGCATGTAAGTAGTATCGCTGTGAATGTCAATAATTCACGGTTACCTCTAAACTGATAACCTGTGAAGGTTTTTTGAAACAAACCATGGATGGAGAATCTAGGATCCTAAAGTTTTTTTGCAATACCTCCACGGGCATGCACAATTTTTAGACACGACATGTTTGGTATCTATTTACTCCCTGCAACATCTTTTTATATTTCACCCCCCCCCCAAAAAAAAAAATTTTTTTTTTTCCGGGTTTGATGACAAAATAACTGTGCACATTGTGCAACATACAAAATTGCATCTACCAGCATTTTATGCTCCAGGGCAGGGGCGGACTGACAACTCATGGGGCCCCCCGGGCAATCAGGGGATCATAGGGCCCCTGTGTCCTTGTCCCCAAACGCAAAAAAAGCCTATGGAAAAGGTATGGGGGTTCTAAGTGAAAAAAAAAAAATCAAAATTGCTCCAGGCAACAAGTAGTTAAAATGTTACAAAGGGGTTCTTACTAAGGTCCCCTTTGCTGGCTATGGATCTGCGATAGAAGGGCCACACCACAAGTGAACAGTTAAGATACAATTTTTATTTCAGTGCTAGGTAGAAGATCGAAGGAGGAAACCAACGTTGTTTTTCAGGGCCCCAACGTAGCCGGCAGCATCACATCTTCCAGGCTGACCACACTGTCTACGGACAAGGTTGCACAGTTGGTGGCCAGTAGTCTCAGGCACGGGGCTCCTCGGTTGGTTTTGCGGTCTTTGCCGTCGGGTTTTTGAGGCCGGATCTGAATTTTTACCTATTTCTTTTACGCTGTCTCTGTTGAGCGTTTTGGTTGCCTTCGGAATAATGAACCGAGCATGCCAGTGTGGCTACCAAGGAAGCCAAAACGATGACCGTCAACAGACTTCTCAACCATTTATACCAGAGGGGGGCTATGGGAGCCAAGTCCAGGTCTTTAATCCCAAAAACATCGACCACCCAAGAGATATACCAAATCCCATTCCCAACCCTACCGTGGCCACATTGATGTTCTCCAATAGCAGCAGGCTGGTGAACGCCATGTACGGGAACACCACGCCGGTCGCCAGGTTGCTCCAGTTGAGTCTGGTGGGGACTGTTGTCCGGCAAGGTGTGACCCCAGCGAACCCCACCGAGGAAGGACAGAATGCAGGCCCCATACAGCACCTGTATGGAGGCCACTGCTGGGTGGTAGACCTGCCCAAAGCAAACAGTGAGCGGCACCGCCATGAAGGGCGTGACCCCAAGAGCCCCCAGAATAAAGGCCGGCTTTGGGGTCTTCTTTATTTCCTGCCGGTAACGCTGCACTGCGGGTAATAAAGACACTTTCCTTGGCCTTCCACTTCTGCCTCTGGCTGGATGTGTGGAGGCCGAGCTTCATGCTGAGGTTCAAGGTGGAAAGAGGCACCATGGGGACGGGCCTGGAGGTTGGAGGTCTTTGGTAAAAACTGCCGGCTGCCGGAGAGAAGGACCACCTCCTGCATAATGAGGGCGTTTCCTTCAATATCTGGAAGAGAATAAGACGATCTGTGATTCAGAAAGGCATTTCCTCCAGTCAGAAACATCAGTACCTGTGTGGTCACCGGAACAGGAAGTCGGGGAGAATGTTCCCCTTGGGGACACAAATACCAAAACCAATTTTGAGAGAGGTTTGTAACCCCCTGGTGCCCTTTGGCGTTTATTCTGCAGCCCTCGGGCCCCTGCTTTGGTGTTTTGGTGCTCACCTAAAATGGCATCTAATAGTTAAAGGCCAATCGAACGTTCAGTTTAAATCGGCTAAATACATTTCAGGTGCAGCAAAGGTGTGCACAGCCTGAGCAGAAAAGCCTGCCCCCTGCCAGCACACTGCAGAATGGCATCCTTGCTCTCCGTGTGGAAGCAGCGGCCTCTCTGTACAGGTCTAATATCCCCCCCTCCTAAAGTAAAGCCAGAGCTCTCCAATCAGCAGGGAGCATGGACTGTGCAGTTTAAAGACTTATGAGGTTGTCATGTGATGAACCTCTGCAGAGAGACCGCTACAAGGATGCAGCATGCTGGCAGAGGACAGGCTATTCTACTGAGGCTGTGGCTGCTTTATAAAGAAAACCAAACAATTGTGAGCACCTGGAATGCATTTATCTGCTTTTAACTGAAGGTTCAATTTGACTTTAAATATCTGCAGTCTCTGATCATCTCCTGTACTGTCCGCAGTCTCTGGTCATCTCCTGTACTATGTCCGCAGTCTCTGATCATCTCCTGTACTGTGTCTGCAGTCTCTGGTCATCTCCTGTACTATGTCCGCAGTCTCTGGTCATCTCCTGTACTATGTCCGCAGTCTCTGGTCATCTCCTGTACTATGTCCGCAGTCTCTGGTCATCTCCTGCACTGTGTCTGCAGTCTCTGGTCATCTCCTGTACTGTCCGCAGTCTCTGACCATCTCCTGTCCTATGTCCGCAGTCTCTGACCATCTCCTGTATCGTGTCCGCAGTCTCTGGTCATCTCCTGTACTGTCTGCAGTCTCTCTGGTCATCTCCTGTACTGTGTCTGCAGTCTCTGTCATCTCCTGTCATGTCCTGTCTGGACCACTCCTGTCTGTGTCCGCAGTCTCTGACTATCTCCTGTACTGTACTGTCTGCAGTCTCTGGTCATCTCCTGTACTATGTCCTGCAGTCTCTGACCATATCCTGTACCGTGTCCGCAGTCTCTGACTATCTCCTGTACCGTGTCCGCAGTCTCTGGTCATCTCCTGTACTATGTCTGCAGTCTCTGGTCATCTCCTGTACTATGTCTGCAGTCTCTGGTCATCTCCTGTACTATGTCCGCAGTCTCTGACCATCTCCTGTCTCTATGTCCGCAGTCTCTGACCATCTCCTGTATCGTGTCCGCAGTCTCTGGTCATCTCCTGTACTGTCCGCAGTCTCCTGACCATCTCTCCTGTCCTATGTCTGCAGTCTCTGGTCATCTCCTGTACCGTGTCCGCAGTCTCTGACCATCTCCTGTACTGTGTCCGCAGTCTCTGATCATCTCCTGTACTGTGTCCGCAGTCTCTGTCATCTACCTGTCCTATGTCCGCAGTCTCTGGTCATCTCCTGTACTGTCTGCAGTCTCTGGTCATCTCCTGTACTCCTGTCCTGTGCAGTCTCTGGTCATCTCCTGTACTCATGTCTGCAGTCTCTGACCATATCCTGTACCTATGTCCGCAGTCTCTGACTATCTCCCTGTACCAGTGTCTGCAGTCTCTGGTCATCTCTGGACATCTGTACTGTGTCTCTGGTCATCTCCACTATGTCTGCAGTCTCTGACCATCTCCTGTATCCTGTACCGTGTCCGCAGTCTCTGACTGTATCTCCTGTACTGTGTCTCTGCAGCAGTCTCCTGGTCATCTCCTGTACTGTGTCCATCCTGTACCGTGTCCGCAGTCTCTGACATCTCTCCTGTACTGGTGTCCCTGCAGTCTCTGGTCATCCTGTACCGTGTCCTGTCTCTGGTCATCTCCTGTACTATGCAGTCTCTGGTCATCTCCTGTACTATGTCCGCAGTCTCTGATCATCTCCTGTACTATGTCCGCAGTCTCTGACCATCTCCTGTCCTATGTCCGCAGTCTCTGACCATCTCCTGTATCGTGTCCGCAGTGTCTGTCATCTCCTGTACTGTCCGCAGTCTCTGACCATCTCCTGTCCTATGTCTGCAGTCTCTGGTCATCTCCTGTACCGTGTCCGCAGTCTCTGACCATCTCCTGTACTGTGTCCGCAGTCTCTGATCATCTCCTGTACTATGTCCGCAGTCTCTGACCATCTCCTGTCCTATGTCCGCAGTCTCTGGTCATCTCCTGTACTGTCTGCAGTCTCTGGTCATCTCCTGTACTGTGTCTGCAGTCTCTGGTCATCTCCTGTACTATGTCTGCAGTCTCTGACCATATCCTGTACCGTGTCCGCAGTCTCTGACTATCTCCTGTATCTCCGTGTCTGCAGTCTCTGGTCATCTCCTGTACTGTGTCCACAGTCTCTGACCATATCCTGTACCGTGTCCGCAGTCTCTGACCATATCTCCTGTACTGTGTCTGTGCAGTCTCTGGTCATCTCCTGTACTGTGTCCACAGTCTCTGACTATCCCCTGTACTGTGTCTGCAGTCTCTGGTCATCTCCTGTCCTATGTCTGCAGTCTCTGACCATCTCCTGTATCGTGTCCGCAGTCTCTGGTCATCTCCTGTACTGTGTCCGCAGTCTCTGGTCATCTCCTGCACTGTGTCCGCAGTCTCTGGTCATCTCCTGCACTGTGTCCGCAGTCTCTGACCATCTCCTGTACCGTGTCCGCAGTCTCTGACCATCTCCTGTACTATGTCCGCAGTCTCTGGTCATCTCCTGTACTGTGTCCGCAGTCTCTGACCTGACCATCTCCTGTACTGTGTCCGCAGTCTCTGACCATCTCCTGTACCGTGTCCGCAGTCTCTGACCATCTCCTGTACTGTGTCCCGCAGTCTCTGACCATCTCCTGTACCGTGTCCGCAGTCTCTGGTCATCTCCTGTACCGTGTCCGCAGTCTCTGGTCATCTCCTGTACCGTGTCCGCAGACTCTGGTCATCCCCTGTACCGTGTCCGCAGTCTCTGGTCATCTCCTGTACTCTGTCCGCAGTCTCTGGTCATCTCCTGTACTGTGTCCGCAGTCTCTGGTCATCTCCTGTACTGTGTCCGCAGTCTCCGGTCATCTCCTGTACTATGTCCGCAGTCTCTGGTCATCTCCTGTACTGTGTCCGCAGTCTCTGACCATCTCCTGTACTGTATGTCCGCAGTCTCTGGTCATCTCCTGTACTATGTCTGCAGTCCCTGACCATCTCCTGTACTATGTCCGCAGTCTCTGGTCATCTCCTGTACTGTGTCCGCAGTCTCTGTCATCTCCTGTACTGTGTCCGCAGTCTCCGGTCATCTCCTGTACTATGTCCGCAGTCTCTGGTCATCTCCTGTACTGTGTCCGCAGTCTCTGACCGTCTCCTGTAGCATGTCCGCAGTCTCTGGTCATCTCCTGTACTATGTCTGCAGTCCCTGACCATCTCCTGTACTATGTCCGCAGTCTCTGGTCATCTCCTGTACTGTGTCCGCAGTCTCTGGTCATCTCCTGTACTGTGTCCGCAGTCTCTCCGGTCATCTCCTGTACTATGTCCGCAATCTCTGGTCATCTCCTGTACTATGTCCGCAGTCTCTGGTCATCTCCTGTACTATGTCCGCAGTCTCTGGTCATCTCCTGTACTATGTCCGCAGTCTCTGGTCATCTCCTGTACTGTGTCCGCAGTCTCTGGTCATCTCCTGTACTGTGTCCGCAGTCTCTGGTCATCTCCTGTACAGTGTCCGCAGTCTCTGACCGTCTCCTGTAGCATGTCCGCAGTCTCTGACCGCACAGACTTGAAGGATCTTCCACTTACCTGTAAGGCCGGGGTAGAGTTCTCCCTCGAAGACACAGCAGCATCTCAGCAAAACCTGCAAACAAAACTTTATTAAACCAATGAAGGAACAAACAGCGGGCAGATGAACACTTACTGACATTGTGACCGCTCTGCCCAGAACATTCATCTGCTGCCGAAAATGCCAGGTGACCCCCCAGGTGACCCCCCCCCCCCGCTGTCTCTCCCTCTGTAACCGAAACACGTACAGAGCAATCAGAAAGTATTCAGACCCCTTCATGTTGTCATGTCGCCACCCGGACACTACAATTGTTTAAATGTCATTTTGTTTCTCATTAATCTGCGCTCGGCATCCCATAATGACAAAGTGACAACAGAAGTTTAGAAATGTCTGAGAATTTATGAAAAAGAAAAAAAAACGGAAATATGACACCGGCAGAAGTATTCAGACCCTTTGCCACAATACTTGAAATTCAGGCACCTTGATTGGAGGCCACCTGGGGTAAATGACACTGATTGGACATGAAAGGCCACACCCCTCTCTATATAAGGCCTCAGAGCTGACAATGCATACTGTATCAGAGCAAAAGCCAAGAGGTCAAAAGGAACTGCCTGCGGAGCTCGGAGACAGGATTACAGGAATCGAAGAGCATCCCCCGCTTGTCGCATCGCAATATTTCCAACCGAACTTGCCTTCCCCGGGTTGTCTTTTAATCAAAAGGTTGCCATAATGACTGGGCGGGAACTCCAACCATCGCCGCCATTGGGTCCTTACTGCGCAGGCGCGAGATCAAAAGGTGCATGCTGGGCTAGGGGGCAGCACCGAATCCAAGAAGTATACGCTACGGGCTTCGGATACTACAGTGATTTGCTACAGCTAATTACATGGTATAGGGTGCTGTGATTGGCTGCAGCTAATTACATGGTATAGGGTGCTGTGATTGGCTGCAGCTAATTACATGGTATAGGGTGCTGTGAGTGGCTGCAACTAATTACATGGTACAGGGTGCTGTGATTGGCTGCAGCTAATTACATGGTATAGGGTGCTGTGATTGGCTACAGCTAATTACATGGTGTAGGGTGCTGTGATTGGCTGCAGCTAATTACATGGTACAGGGTGCTGTGATTTGCTGCAGCTAATTACATGGTGTAGGGTGCTGTGATTGGCTGCAGCTAAGTACATGGTATAGGGTGCTGTGATTGGTTGCAGCTAATTATATAGTACAGGTTGCTGTGATTGGCTGCAGCTAATTACACGGTATAGGGTGCTGTGATTGGCTACAGCTAATTACATGGCATAGGGTACTGTGATTGGCTGCAGGAGAATTACATGGTATAGGGTGCTGTGATTGGCTGCAGAGAATTACATGGTATAGGGTGCTGTGATTGGTTGTAGCTAATTATATGGTATAGGGTGCTGTGATTGGCTGCAGCTAATTACATGGTATAGGGTGCTGTGATTTGCTACAGCTAATTACATGGTGTAGGGTGCTGTGATTGGCTGCAGCTAATTACATGGTAAAGGGTGCTGTGATTGGTTGCAGCTAATTACATGATGTAGGGTGCTGTGATTGGTTGCAGCTAATTATATGGGTACAGGTTGCTGTTATTGGCTGCAGCTAATTACACAGTATAGGGTGCTGTGATTGGCTACAGCTAATTACATGGTATACGGGTGCTGTGATTGGCTGAAAACTAATTACATGGTATAGGGGTGCTGTGATTGGCTGCAGAGAATTACATGGTATAGGGTGCTGTGATTGGTTGTAGCTAATTATATGGTATAGGGTGCTGTGATTGGCTGCAGCTAATTACATGGTACAGGGTGCTGAGCTAATTACATGGTACAGGGTGCTGTGATTGGCTGCAACTAATTACATGGTATAGGGTGCTGTGATTGGCTACAGCTTTAATTACATGTATAGGGTGCTGTGATGGCTGCAACTAATTACATGGTATAGGGTGCTGTGATTGGCTACAGCTAATTACATGGTATAGGGTGCTGTGATTGGCCTGCAGAGAATTACATGGTATATAGGGTGCTGTGATTGGCTGCAGCTAATTACATGGTACAGGGTGCTGTGATTGGCTATACTAAAAGTAATTGTTAAGAGGTTATAAGTTTAAGTATCATGTCACCCAATATTTGGTTTCTATTCAGTAGGCGTCGCCAAAAAAGGCATTCAAAAAAGAGGGGTTTGTGAAAGAGAGATTCACAGAAAAGCGGCTACATAATGAATAGACCGTGACACTCAGAAAATTTCCCAAAAAATTATGCTTTATTACACATATATAGAATGATATGACATATGGGCATATGCCCTGGTTTACCATCACTTCAGTATGAGACAATAACACACAGACCTAAAAACCATAATAAAATGACATCAAGACCGGTCTAAAATGCATTGTGCAACAGAAAGAATGACTTCAAGAGTCTAATACCTCTGCAGCGCAAGCACATAGGTGAACACTTCCATGGGGAGGTGTATCCAAAAATTGTACCATAAGTATACCATAATATTGAATATATAATAAATGCCAATATCACATCTGGTGAAATCCCAATAATGGTAATCCAAAAATTATACAATGGATATAGTATATATATCACTTGTATGCAAGGCAGCCAGCACAAAAAGCGTGAAGAAGAGAAACCAATAGGCCCTAGGGCCTAGTATGGATAAAGACATAAATGATCCAAATATATTAATACAATCCCATTCCTGTGCAGCACAGTGGTTGGGGCCCATTCATCTGTATATGAAACAGCTGGATCTCAGAGCTTTGAATGGAAAATAGCACCCAGTTATTCCCGGATGGGAGAAAAGATGCAGATAGCAACACTCTGCTTGGAAATGGTTTCTTCACCCCTGTTTGTGGATAACACCACCTTTTTTAGAAAAAACAAAAACAAGACATATCCAAGGTATTTCTGTTTTTAGAAAAATTTTTATGGGGTTTTTATTTGTGTCTACATAAAACACCATGATGTCCCCCCGTTAAAACAAAAAGTGGGAAATCAGAAAAGTTACACTCGTAAGATATATAGATCATA